TGTGATCCACCCTGAGCTTGCCTTGCTTTGCTTGACTTAGTAAAAATCTTCGTAGACGGGGGGGCCAGCCACAGCCTGATCAACACTGCCACAGCACGAAAGCTGCGACTGCCACTGGACAGATGTTTACCTGAGATCGACGCAAGACTGGTAGACGGCACGCCGCTGGCGATACGGGAACGCGTAGATCGGGTTCGGATTCGATGCGGTGGTAACTTCACGTTTAGCCAGGAAATGCTCGCAACGACCCTCGACGGAACCAATATTCTACTTGGGCGTGATTGGCTGCGACAACACAATCCATGAATCGACAAAACAACGGGTGACTGCATCGTGCGATTGAACGGTAACAACATCGCCTTACCTCGCTGGGGCTTGCCTGAGTCTTCGTCGGTGCGTGTCAACGCAATCACGATGAAAAGCACCGTAGCAGCAGAAGTTGACGTGTACGCGGTCGACATTCGGAAAGGCGAGGCAGTAGACAAAGGAGGGGATTTACATAAACTGATTGCCGACGTACCGAGTGATCTGGCAGCACTGTTGAAGCAGTACAGTGACATCATCCCGGACGACCACCGAAGGGACTGCCACCTCAGCGACCGCACGACCACGGAATAGAACTAGAACTGGGGGCACAGCTCACAGTACAGCGACAATTTCGACCGATCCAACCCGAACTGGAGGAACTGAGGAAGCAGCTTGATTACCTGCTCGAGAAGGAATTCATTCGCCCTAGTTCGTCACCCTTCGCAACACCGATACTGTTCACACCGAAAAAAGACAGGGGATTTCGCATGTGCATAGATTACAGAGCACTGAACAGGGTTACCATCAAATCCCGTTACCTCATCCCGCGAGCCGGCGAATTGATCGACCAACTGCGCAAAGCTCGGGTTTTCTCGAAAATCGACCTCCGAAGGGGTTACCACCAGATTCGCGTCAATCCGCTTGACTGCCCTAAGACCGCATTTCGCACACGCTACGGATCCTTCGAATAAACCATCACGCCCTTCGGACTGACCAACGCCCCCGCCACCTTTCAAATGACCATGAACAAAGCTTTCCGCCTGCTCTTATATAAGTGCGTCATAGTATATCCGGACAACATACTGATTTACAGCCCTGACAGAGCACAGCACTTATAGGACAACGAAGCAGTTTTAAAGATACTGAGTGAGAACCGCCTACTCACAAAAGCGTCTAAGTGTGAGCTTTTACAAGACCGACTAGAGTTTTTGGGACACATTATTTCAACTGCAGGAGTGGAAATAGACCCGAAGAAAATTGCGACGATTCAAGCATGGCACGCGCCAACCAACTAAACCGAGTTGCAGAGTTTTTTGGGGTTCATCAACTACGTGCGCTGGTTCTTCCTCGACATGGCGAAGCTGACTACCCCGATGACAGACCTGCTGAGGAAGGGGGTTGAGTACACGTGGGGGGAGAAAGAGCAAGCTGCCTTCTCGGCCCTCAAAAACATTTTGTGCTCACCGCCGGTGCTTCACATCGCAGATCCGCACTGTCGGTTCGAGCTCGTCACTGACGCAAGTGGCATTGCTGTGGGAGCAGTACTATTGCAGGATTTCGGCAACGGCCTCTAGCCGATCGCGTACGAGTCCCGCAAGCTGCACCCGCTCGAACGCAACTACCCGATACACGACCGCGAAATGTTGGCGATCGTACACGTGTTCAAGGTTTGGCGGTGTTACCTGACTGGCACCGACGTGACCGTACGGACAGACCACCGATCACAACAGTACCTGCGCACCCAACCGAATCTCAATACGCGACAGATTCGCTGGTTGGACTACCTCGAGTCCAACTTCCACTACACGGTTACGTACAAAAAAGGCGCCTCCAACATCGCCGACGCATTCACCCGCCCTACGGCCCAACTCCATGCCCTCCTACTCGCCCAAACCAACCCACTTCTAACAGGCCTATTCACCCACGGATACCGCACCGACCCATTTTTCACGACCGGAAATTCATAGCAGCTGGCAGAAGCTAAAGGAGTTAATCACGTAAAAACAGGCACCAACCGCATCTGGGTACTCGCGTACTCACTACTGAGGGAGCTGCTATGGCAGGAGGCACACGACGGAATTACCTCGGGACATTTTGGGGTAGAAAAAACGCGACAGCAACTACAGCGGTATTACTACTGGCCGAAGCTGTTGACTGATGTGCAGCAGCACGTGGGCTCGTGTCCCACGTGTCAGGTGATGAAGAGCTTGAGGAAGCGGAAGGCGGGTCAGTTGCAGCCGATACCACCGCCCAAGCGCGCACGGCAGCAGGTTACCATGTACTTCGTCATAGGGTTATCTTCGAACCCTGTGGGTAACGACGCAGTGATGGTTGTCATTGACAGGCTGACGAAGATGGCACACTTCGTTGCGTGCAAAAATTCGATCTCTGCCGAGGAGACCGCTCGCTTGTTCAGCGCAACTGTTGTTCGCCTGCACGGGATACCAACAGCGATTATCAGCGATAGGGACATGAAGTTCACCAGCAACTTCTGGAAAAACCTCTAGGAGCAGTTCGGGACACGGCTACATTTCAGCTCATCGTACCACCCCGAGACCGACGGTCAAACGGAACGGACGAATCAGACGATGGAGCAGTTGATTCGTGCCACGTGCGACGACCCGACCGCTTGAGAGCAGCAGCTACTGCTGATCGAGTCCGGGTGCAACAATGCCACGTCAGCGACAACGCAGGAGTCCCCCTTCTACCTGAACTACGGGCAAAACCCTACAGTGCCCATGATGCCGAGTCCGGACAACCCAACACCACGTGCACAACAATTCGCAGAAATTCTGCAAGTTGCCTCACCAGAGCCGCAGAAGCATTAAAAAAGGCAAACGTCATTGCTAAGGGGAGTGCTAACCGCCACCACCGCCCAGTCACATACCAGTCAGGGGACTATATACTGCTCGACACGCAAAATCTGCGACTGCCCGACATACCGAAACTTCAACCGCGCTACTGTGGCCCATTCCAAATCAGCCACATGATCACGCCAGTAACCGCGCACCTACTGTTACTGACCGACTGGTACATCAGCCCATCGTTCCATGTCAGCCTACTTCGCCCGTACATCCCAACCACTAGCCAACTGCCCCGTCACCGCCCGCATTCCATGACTCGTCCTGCATCGGAGCCGATCATCGATCCCGAAAAAAATATGAGCCACCGGATTCGCCACCCCACGGGAATCAGGAGGACTCAATTCCTCATTCGCTGGAAGGACCGCATGCCAATTGAAGATAGGTGGGTGCCCCTGGCCAAGATTGAAAACCACCCTACCCTGCAAGTGTACCTGAGGAGCCGGGGATTCCGCGACATACACGTACTCGTGTAGTAGAGGGGGCTTCTTGAGGGGGGGGGGAAGTGTAAGGAATTTTCTCGGCATTCCTTACGGAGCCCGACTACATCGCGTACAGCAACAGCCGTTGTTCGCCCGTTACTGCTAACGGGCCAACCTCGCGCGCACTGTTTTGTCAAACCTCGCACTGCTGGCCCGGGCGTGTCGGCCTACGCTTCGGGACTAGCCCGAGCCTCGACGCCAGCGTAGCACTAGCTAGCTCGCACGCACCGCGTTACCGTTTGCATGTTTCGCGTATAAATGTTCGCTCATGCCTTCGCTCACATCTTTGTACTCGTTTGACACTCTAGTGCAATCCTCGCTACCACGATCCATTGCACCCGTAACAGTACCCCTCTTTTTGGGGGCTGGTCGGGTTGCCTCAAACGGTCGGGTTGGGTAGACCACTAGGGTTACCTGATTACCAGCAGTTGTACAGTGTACAGTATTGTACGTGCATAGCAGAGCTCCACACACCTGGTCGAAGCAACCAGGTGGTCAATGCGACGGTTGGTCGCGCCCACGCACACTCGAGTCGAGGCAACCAGCCTCGAACGTACCAACATGCAGCGCAACCAGTGATACAGTAAACACCAAGTGCAGATGACACAATCAAATATCGATGCGATTGGTGGAAGAAAACAAATATTAAGAATTGAATGCAGAACATAGGTGGAAATCTGTTGGGTCTGCCCAAAAAACCATCAACGTGGTTGGGTCCCGAAAACAAGCGAGTGGTACAAATGCAGGTTGCCTGCTGGAACCCAACCACCCACTGGTCGACCCGACCAGTCAGGTTGGGTCGACTTTTACAGGCAACAAGGCCCTGCCACCAAATTAAGGGGTACGTAACACGCTCTAAGAGCGGGTCGCGTTTGGATTAACCTGGCACGTTTAATGCGCTTCGGTGCTTTAGAGAGGGGTTGAAGACGATTATGAGTTTCCACCAAAGCTAACCGTGTTTTATCGCTTTTTGACGTATTTGAACGCATTAAACGTACCGGGTTCATTTAAACGGGACTCGCCCTAATAATGAGAATATGATGAACAGAATGACGATACAATTATTATGGAATTGAACATGAGCATTCCTGTATGTAACACCAACGATGAGGATCAAAGGTAGAGATAAACCAAAGCAATTTTTTTTTGTTGAGAACAATGATACAACAGCAAACCAAAATGTGAATACATCTGGCACCTAGCAACCTTAGCAAGGAGGCATGTCGACCTCCAGCACAGCACGAGGGCGGCCTACCATCATGGCAAGGCGGCTGCGTGCCAACGCAGCTCGAAGGCGGCTTGCCAACACTACATTTCGGCAACCTGCCAGCAGTGCACCAACGCGACTTGCCTATGCTGCAACAAGGCGGCTTGCCAGCTTTGCAACCGCGGTTGATTATGGAACACATGCGCGCACCTACTTTTTTCGTTGTTTTTTTCCAAATCTACAGCACATACGGCATGGAAAACATAGATGATAACTCTCCCCTAAACAGCCCGAATTGACGACGACACTCAACAACAACCCAATACCTTGCCCTAAGGATGCTCCTCAGAACCCAGATTCCTTTCCACCCTCCCCACCAACCCCAACCCCCTAACCCCCTCCCGTTCCCCCTCCCCTACTCCTTCACAACCATACATCCGACAAATACGGGGCCTCCACCCAGAGAGCCCCCCACTCATTCACCCTGTCCTCCCTCTCCCTATCTACCAGGTCAACGTCCACCCCGCCCATGGACGATGCAGCCCGCATCAAAATAACGTGAGCCTGCGCCCATTGCAATACCACCCCAATAAGCGTCTTCAAAGACCCCAAGAGATATGACTAGAATGACTTGCCATCGTCTCGACAGGCCCCTCGCGACACAGCTGACGTAAGTGAGCGTCCCTCTGCTGACTCAACCAACGTCTGAAATGTCCACCCAAGCAACCCCACGTCTCAACAATCAAAGGTGTGAACTACACCCCCTGATTGCTCGCTAGCAATGGCGCGTAATCATTCACCTTCCGTCGCTCGCACTCCTTGGCTGCCATGGCGATAGACCGTTCGCACTGTCTGGTCCGACCAAAGATGGAGAGAGCGACAAGGGGTCTGCAACACTGATCTCCAAGGCATGCGCTTCTCCGTTCATTAGACGTCGCACTGCAATATCCACACGCTTTTCTGGCAACAACATGTCATCCTTCATCGTCACCACCCCCCCGGATGCCTTGGAAATCTTTGCCATTGCAAACTTCACCTCATAGTGCACCCAAGAGGGACCGTGCTGGTGCTTGCATCGCAGTGCATGATGCGGGTCCGCCGGGTCCTTGTACACCGTGCCGCATATACAACGCTCTGCCACATGCAGCTGCTGGATCGGAAGGCCCAAAAGCATAGCTGCAGCAATGCTCCACTCAGCAGCTGTGAAGGTGAAATCCGCATGAGCTGGTACAGCCGAGACCCATGCACCAGCCCCCGGGCCCTGAAGGTATGTGAAACGGGCTAGGGTGGCATCGTCACGGGCCAATCGACGCACAGTCTAAAGTTCCTGCACAGCCAACTACCACAGCCGTGCCTGGAAGAGACGAACAGGGGGGGGGGCAGCGACGTAGATAGGCAAGCTCAGCATCTCCTAGCGCACAACCTCTAGCAGCTGGTCGAGGCTCTTAGAGAACCAGGGATAAAGAAAATCCACCCCCGCCACAGTTCTGAGATAGTCTGCAAACATCGCCTCCTCATCTGCTACCCCCAACTGCACAGTGTCACACACAGCCTGTGCCCACCCACAAGCGTAAGACAGCGGACTCAAGGAAGTCACTGCTCGAATCCCAAAGCCGCCAAGGCGAACAGCTACGTGCAGCTGCAGGCGAGCCAGCCTAGACCGTGCAGGGTCGTACTCCCAGGTACCAGACGGGAAGAGCTGCTCGAAACAGTCCTCCAGACTACTGTCCCAGTCACTGAAAGCGTCCACCACCCCTGGCCGCGGCGGCACGGTCCGCGCAAGGTACATCGGCCGCGATGAAACAGCGATAGCCAGAAGGTGTGACTCCATCTGCGGGTTGTCGAGCAAGGGGAGCTACAGCAAGGGCGTCTGAAGCTGACGAAGCCGCTCCCGCAAACGAGTCACCTCCCAGTCCTCCTCTCCAATGAGGATCCCCACCATTGTGAGTCCCTCCTCCACTTGCTGCATGCCCAAAGGCATCTCCTTTACCACGCCAGAGGCCTCCCGTACCCAGAATCGGCACTTGTGGGCCTGCAACTCCAACCCACCCTTGCAGTCGTTCCCGTAACACGCCAAATGCCTCCAGAAGCCTTGCCGTCGGGTCCAAAATGTAGGTAACATCCGCGTAGCTCAGGAAAAGCAAGTCGGCAATCCCTCTAGTGACCGGCTCCATGACTAGCTGCTGCGTGAATGCGAAGAGGAAAGGCCCGAGCGGGTCCCCCTGTTGGGATCCTCGTGCTGAAGCGAAAGTTTCTACGAACGGGCCTGCACGGAGATAAAGATCGCTAGGTGTCCCGTAAAAGATACCCAAGAAAGGGATGAGACCCGAAAAGGGGGACTCCTGCAGCCCCTCAAACATCGCCCATCGGTGGAAGGAGTTGAATGTGTTCGCAACATCTATGTGCAGCGCGGACCAATCTGTGTGAGTAGTCAGAGCCGAGCGAAAGGCGTGGGTCAAAATCTCCATTCTTATGCTGGTTCCAACGCCAAACTAGTGATACGTCTGAAAGTGGGAGGCCATCGCTGATTTAAGTGTAATGCAGAGTGCTCATGCAAGGATGCGCGGAAGGACCTCTCCAATGGCCATCGGCCAGACATCGCTGTTGAGCTTAGACAACCCAACCAGGTTAGAAGCAGCAAGCCAAGGTTGTGCCCGCTCGGGAACCTGCCCTACAACCCATTGGTTGAATACATTGAGCAGATGAACTAGGCTGGCCGGTTCTGTGAGGAATGTGTTGTTACGCAAGTGTTCCATAAGCCACCCCGACGGCCCTGCAGCAGAAGCACGAGCAGCTGTGTGAATAGCCCTAGCCAGTATTGTCAAACATTATATATGTTGTGTTAGTTTAGGCTACAGTGGGTTAGCCTATAGGGGGTACACAATTCTAGGGTTAGGTACTTGTACTCATTTCACTGTTAGTTCATTCAATCCTGTTCAGTAATTCCAACATGGTATAGAGCAGGTCCTTCCTAGGACCGAAAATTTTTAAGGGCCCACCACTACCTACCTACCAACCTACCTGCTTGCGCCCTAGGGCGCCTCGGCTTTGTCACGCCCCTAGAGGCCCCTAACGGCCCATCGCGATCGCCCCTAGAGGCCCCTTGACGGCCCCGCGCTTACCTACCTAGCGGCCCCGTCGGCCCCTAATAGGCCCCGTTAGGCCCCGCGCTTACCTACCTAGCGGCCCCTAACGCCCTAGTCGGCCCCTAGAGGCCCCGTTCAGGCCCCGTCGGCCCCGCGCCCGCCGTCGCTAGAGGCCCCAATCGGCCCCGTCGACCCCTACTCGGCCCCGTCAGGCCCCCCGCGCTCGCTTTCCTAGCGGCCCCTACGGCCCCGTCGGCCCCTAGAGGCCCCGTTCAGGCCCCATCGGCCCCGCGCCCGCCCCGTTCAGGCCCCGTCGGCCCCACGCCCACTGTCCCTAGAGGCCTCGTTAAGGCCCCGATCGGCCCCGCGCTCGCCACCCTAGGGCCCCAAAAGGCCCCGTCGACCCCGCGCCCGCCGTCCCTAGAGGCCCCAACCGGCCCCGTGCCCACCGTCCCTAGAGGCCCCGAGCGGCCAGTTCCCGCCGCAGCCCGCGACCTAACCGAGCCGCGCGACCTGAGCCGCGCGACACGAGCCGAGCCGCGCGACCCGAGCTGAGCCGCGCGAACCCAGCCGAACCGCGCGACCCGACCAGAACCGAGCCGCGCCGCCCTGCCCTAACTGAATCGTCCTAACTGCTTCTCCTACTGCTACTGCTGCTACTTCTACTCTTCCTATGGCCAGCCCACAGGTTCTAGTTTTCGATGCTGAGGGCCGCCCTGTGAAGTTTGACACTTGGCTCGATGACCTGCACCTCTACCTACAGCTCACAGCCAAGGATGACATCTCACTGTACGACCACGCCCTAGGCCATGTCACTGCCCCTGCTGCTACTGCTGACAGCACTGCTCGCTCCCAGTGGCAGACTCGTGATGCCCACGCTCGCTTCGCTATTTGCAACTCCCTGCCGATAGACGAACGCGAGCACTTTGGCCAGCAGAAGACTGCACAGGCACTGTACACCGCTGTAGTTGCTCGCTACTCCTCGCCTGCCTCTGCCGGGCTAGGCCGTCTCTCCCTCCCCTACCTGTTTCCCGACCTGGCCTCGTTCCACACAGTCGGTGACCTCATCACGCACCTCCGTACTAGTGAGGCTCGCTTCTGTGCCGCCATGCCCGCTGAGTTCCTTGCCACGCACCCCCCTCCACTCTGGCTCACTCTCTACCACCTAGTCACCCGCCTCCCTGACACACTGCGTAGTGTCAGGGACCACTTCCTAGCTCGCTGCCCCACTGAGCTCACCATTGCCCTCCTCGAGAAGGAGCTGCTTGCAGCCGAGACTAGCATAGTCGCTGTAGGTGCCTCTCGTGGCGACCCCCGTACCCCGTTCTTTGAGGGGTGTTCTCCTTCCCCCCTTCTTCCCTCTGTCGCCTCTGCTGCTGCTGTCGACCTTCTGAGTGCTGGGAAGGTCGGCGCTGCGTCTGCTTCGAGCGGGCGCCGCAGCGGCAAGGGCAAAGGGGGCAAGGGTGGTGGTGGTGACGGCGGGGGAGGCGGCGGTGGGGGCGGTGGAGGCGGCGGGGGTGGTGGCACGACTGGGGGGACTAGTGGCGGCGGTGGGGGTGGTGGCGGCAGCGGCGGGGGAGGTGGCAGGGGCGGAGGCGGTGGTTGGGGTGGCGGTGGACGAGGCGGTGGCAGGGGTTGGGGTGGTCGAGGAGGTGGCGGCGGTGGTGGTGGCCGTGGAGGCGCTAGCGGTGGCCAGGGCCAGCAGCACACTCCTTCGCCCCAGGAGGTCCGTGAGTGGTACTCTCAGCACGGGGGTAGGGGTGGTCTTAGCTGCACATACGTCATTCGCATTGGTGACCACACTGGTCAGCAGTGTGGACGACCACACGCCACACAGCGCTGCTTTGCTCGTCTCGACGTCGCTTGGCGTGTTCAGTTCCCTCCGGCCACTGAGCTGCCCCGCTGGATTGATCTCCTGAAGAAGGGGATTGATATCTATGCTCTAGACTTTGATGCTATTCTATCTACCATGTATGTGATGTCTACAAGTGGAGAGGGTGCTGAGCACTTGTGTGTGCCGCCCAACCTGGGCATTAGGGCCAGTGCGTCTGCCGCTCCAGGTACTCGCGTGTCGGCTACCCCAGGTGCTGGTGAGGCTGCTGCTCTAGGTGCTTGTGTGTCTGTCCCCCTTGGTACTGAGTCGACTGCAGCACTACACACCTTCACCCTGGACTCAGGTGCTTCTCGCTGCTTCTTTCGTGACCGCACTGCCCTTGAGCCGCTTGCTCGGCCAGTTGCCGTCTCCCTTGCTGACCCCTCTTGGGGTCCGGTCATTGCGACCTCTTCCACTGTCCTTCCCTGTCCTGCGGTCCCGTCGGGCACACTGTCAGGTCTCCACCTCCCCTCGTTCTCTACGAACTTGGTGGCAGGATGTGCGCTCTAGGACGGGGGTGTTCACCAGTTCACCCCTGCCTACGAGCGCGTGACACACTACAGCCAGGGTCGGACCTGTACACACTGACTACTGAGTCCCCTCAGGTTGCTGCGTTTGCGTCTACGTCCGCGTCTAGGTCAGTTGTCGGCTCCCTGCTCGTGTCGCTCTCTGGCACACGAGATTGTCCTCTGGCACCACCGCCTTGGCCACCCGTCTGTGCAGCGGCTTCGTGCCATGCACTCCCGGTACCTTGTCTCTGGCCTGCCCAGGGTCCTTCCTCCCCTCCCACCCTCACCTGCTCCTACCTGTCTCCCCTGTATCGAGGGACGGCAGCGCGCCGCTCCTCACTCCTCGTTTCCCCCGATGAGTGCTCCCTTGCAGATGCTCCACATGGACGTGTGAGGCCCAGCCCGCGTCCGTGGTCAGGGTCAGGAGAGGTACTTCCTGATAGTTGTTGACGACTACTCGCGCTACACCTCGGTCTTTCCCCTGCGCACCAAGGGTGAGGTCCCTGATGTCTCGATCCCTTGGATCCGCAGAGCCCGTCTCCAGCTCAGCGAGCGTTTTCACTCGGACTTTCCTGTCCTGCGCTTGCACTCTAACAGAGGTGGTGAGTTCTCCTCCGACCTCTTGGCAGCCTACTATGCTGAGCACGGCATTGAGCAGTCGTTCACGCTACCGGCCTCTCCACAGCAGAATGGGGTTGCAGAGCGCCGCATTGGCCTGGTCATGGAGGTCGCCCGTACCTCCTTGATCCATGCGGCTGCCCCCACTTTCTGTGGCCGTTTGCGGTCCGGTACGCTGCGCATCAGCTCAACCTCTCGCCCCATGTCTCCTTGCCGGAGACCTCGCCCACACTGCTGTGGACGGGGGAGGTTGGCGATGCGTCGCGTTTCCGGGTCTGGGGATCTCGAGCTTTTGTCCGCGATACGTCTGCGGACAAGCTCTCCTCCCGTGTTGTTCCCTGCGTCTTCCTCGGCTTTGTCCCGGACGCGTCTGGTTGGCAATTTTACCACGCCACCTCGCGCCGAGTCTTGCCCTCTCAGGACGTCACTTTTGACGAGTCCGTCCCCTACTACCGCCTCTTCCCCTACCGCACTGCCCCGCTCCCCCCCCCCGCCTCTCTTCCTCGCCCTAGGTGCTGCTGTTGTAGACCCCCTCCCCCCTCAGGGTGCCACTCCCTCAGGTGTGTCTCAGGTAGACCCGGTTGAGCCTGTTGAGGTAGCTATCGACTCTCGTCCTGCTGGGGGTGCTGAGCCTGGGGGTGTGGAGCCTGGGGGTGTGGAGCCTGGGGGTGTGGAGCCTGGGGGTGCTGAGCTTGAGGGTACTGAGCCTGGGGGTGTGGAGCCTGGGGGTGCTGAGCTTGGGGGTGCTGAGCTTTGGGGTGCTGAGCCGCAGAGTCCGGAGTCTGGGGGTTCTGGGTCTGGAGGTACTGGGCCTGGGAGTCCTACACCTGGAGAAGCCCTCTCCTCGGAGCAGCTGCGTACGTGGTACTTACAGTACTGCAGCCTCAGGAGAGGTGCCGCTCGAGCCGGGCGTGCTGCTGGGACTGGTGCTAGTGCTTCTCCTCCCGTTCGGGAGCTCCCCTCCCGTGAGCGGATCCGTGAGTGGTACGAGCGGCGCTGCACTCTTCGGAGTGGCGTGCCTCGTGTTGCGGACCCGGGCGTTGGAGCCGCTGCTGGTGCTGAGGACCCAGGTGTTGGAGCTGCTGCTGGTGCTGCGGACCCAGGTGTTGGAGCTGCTGCTGGTGCTGAGGACCCAGGTGTTGGAGCTACTACTGGTGCTGCAGACCCGGGTGTTGGAGCTGCTGCTGGTGCTGAGGACCCAGGTGTTGGAGCTGCTGCTGGAGCTGCGGACCCAGGTGTTGGAGCTGCTGCTGGTGCTGAGGACCCAGGTGTTGGAGCTGCTGCTGGTGCTGCGGATCCAGGTTTTGGAGCTGCTGCTGGTGCTGCGGACCCGAGCATTGGTGCTTCTACTGGTGCTGAGGACCCTGGTGTTGGAGCTGCTGCTGGTGCTGCGGACCCTGGTGCGGGTGTCCCTGCTGGCTCTGGTGTCGCTGCATGGTCACGGCCGTACTTTGTTCCGCTCCTTCAGCAGGTTCTTGGTCAGCTCCCTCCTCCTTGTCCTCCTCCCTCCTTAGCGTGTCCTCCGTCTGTCCAGCTGCAGTCGCAGTTACCGTCTGCCTCCTCTCTCCCTGGTCCTGCTCCTTACACTGGTCCGTCTGGAGGTCTTACTGAGCGTCGTGAGCCTGAGTCTCGTTCTGCGTCGCCTGAGTCTCGTCCTGCGTCGCCTGTCCGTCCTGCTCTCACTGGTAGTCGTGTCAAGCGTCAGCGTCTTCCTGCTATCCCAGGCACTCACCGGATGGCGCTTCGTCCGTCCACTGCTCCACAGCGTGTCCCACTGCCGTCTCCTCCTGCTTCCTCTCTTCCTGCTCTTGCTGACCCTGGGTCAGACTCTCTTCGTGCTGCCAGTCCTACTCTCATGCGTCTCATGGCTACTGTTGTCACTGACCCTTCCTTTGAGTCTGCTGCTGCGTCTGCCTTAGTTGGTGAGCTTGTCGACTTTGCTGCCACCCGTCGTCTAGACTACGCTGCTAGCCTGGTTGCTGATTCTGAGTCTGTCTGACCTCCGTCCGTCGGGGGTGAGTGTGCTCTTCGCACTGACGTCCTTGAGGACAGGCAGGAGGATTTTGAGTGCTTTGCTGCCGTTTTGCCCCATCTCATGTCCATGCTTGTTGCCCCTGAGGGAGACCCGGATGCACCAGACATCCCGACCCCACGCTCTTACGCAGAGGCGATGGCCGGTCCCTACTCCTCTCAGTGGCAGTCAGCCATGGAAACAGAGATGGCTTCCTAGAAGTCCACAGGCACCTACGTCGACGAGGTTCCCCCACTTGGGGCGAACATCGTCAGTGGCATGTGGATTTTCAGGGTGAAGCTGCCGCCGGGCTCTCCGCCTGTCTTCAAGGCACGTTACGTTGCACGAGGCTTCAGTCAGCGAGAGTGAGTTGACTTCTTCCAGACCTTCTCCCTGACCCCGAAGATGACCACTCTTCGGGTTCTACTGCACGTCGCCGCTCAGCGTGACTACGAGCTCCACTCGCTTGACTTCATCACTGCTTTCCTACAGGGCAGTCTGCATGAGGAGATCTGGCTGCGCCGTCCACCTGGCTTCACTGGGTCGTTCCCTCCTGGTACCCAGTGGAGCCTCCGACGGCCAGTCTACGGTCTCCGCCAGGCGCCTCGTCAGTGGCACGACACACTGAGGACTACACTTGCGGCTCTTGGGTTCGCGCCTTCTACTGCTGACCCGTCGCTGTTTCTACGAACTGACACCTCACTGCCGCCGTTCTACGTCCTTGTGTACGTCGACGACTTGGTCTTTGCTACTGCTGACACTGAGTCTCTCGCCCACGTGAAGTCGGAGCTGCAGAAGAGACACACGTGCACAGACCTGGGTGAACGGAAAAGCTATCTTGGCTTGCGGATCACCCGGGACAGAGCACGCCGCACCATCACCTTGACTCAGTCACACATGGTGCAGCAGGTCCTTCAGCGCATCCGCTTCACGTACTCCTCGCCTCAGCCCACTCCTCTCCCTACCGGTCACTCGCTCTCAGCTCTGCCTTCGGATGAGTCCGTAGAGTCGAGTTGCCCGTATCCAGAGCTTGTGGGTTGCCTCATGTACCTGATGACCTGCACTTGACCTGACCTTGCATACCCTCTCAGCATTCTTGCACGCTATGTCGCTCCCGGCTGTCACCGGAAGGAGCACATGGATGCAGCTAAGAGGGTGTTGCGCTACTTGTGCAGTACGTCTAGCATGGGGCTAGTGCTTGGAGGGCGAGTCCCAGTTGTTCTCACTTGGCATTCAGACGCTTCTTGGGCAGACGACCAGGCTACTAAGCGGTCGTCTCAGGGTTACTCCTTCAGTCTTGGCTCTGGTTCAGTTTCTTGGCGTTCTACTCGCTCTTCTTCTGTTCTCAGCTCCAGTTGTGAGGCTGAGATCTACGCCACAGCCATGGCGGCCCAGGAGCTACGGTGGCTCACCTACTTGCTGACCGACCTTGGAGAGCAGCCTCGTTCTCCTCCAGTGCTGTACGTCGACAACAAGGTAGTCATTGCCTTGTGTGAGGAGCACAGACTGGAGCACAGAACGAAGCACATTGCTCTGCGTTACTTCCTTGCTCGAGAGCTGCAGCAGCGTGGTCAGCTTCGCCTGCGTTACGTGGCCTCTGAGGCCAACACTGCTGATGTATTCACCAAGGCGCTTCAGCCTTGTGACCATCAGCGCTTTTGCACTCTTCTAGGCCTTGTGCCTACTGGACCTCACTTGCTTACTTCTTGAGTCTGTTTGTACTGTGATCTATATGTATATATATATATATATATATATACCTGCATGTTTACTCTTGCTAGGTTGTGATCATTGTATCTTTTGCTCTATTATAAACCTGCATGTGAACTGGTCTTGTGACCACTTGCTTGTGCTCGGAATTTGTGTGGTATCCTTGAGATCCACCCTGAGCTTGTTTTGACTTGCTTTGCCGTGACTGGTCTTGTGACCCCTAGTTCTCCCCCACTTCGCCTATGGGGGTGTGTCAAACATTATATATGTTGTGTTAGTTTAGGCTACAGTGGGTTAGCCTATAGGGGGTACACAATTCTAGGGTTAGGTACTTGTACTCATTCCACTGTTAGTTCATTCATTCCTGTTCAGTAATTCCAACAAGTATGTCACATTTGAGCACTGGTCGCTGAGGAGCGTCGATGGCAAAAGCGCGGACCCACTCCGGTATTTCGAAGGTGCGGGTAGACGGCTGAGCACGTCATGCACCGTCACGCACATTGCACAGGTGCTGGATCGGGACAGCTGCTCCATGTGGACCTCGTGATCACGTCAAGTTTCCACGTAGGTCGGCTTCGCAAAAACCACCTGGACGACGTTCTCGCACCTCCGCAAAACTGTCCAGTTCGCTTACCAACTGGGCTAAAAGGGCATGTTTACTT